TATTACACACACATACACTCATCTCACAACAAATGTATTTATTCCAATTCACCTTCCCCTTTTCTATTGTTCTATTCTATCAAAATCCCATGTCAACAAATAGTTAAATATTGTCAAATAACTCTTTTGATAATTTAGCCTGTGCTTTGATGAGAGAATGGCACAAGGCGGCAAATAACATCCAGCTTCAGTTATCGAAAAAGAAAATGAAATATTACTATTTAAATTACATGATGTGGGGAGAATAGCTTTTCTTTAGCTCCACCATAAACGGTGGTTACAGAGGAAAATTAAAACAAAAAAAAAAAAAAAAATCAAATACACTGGATAGGCATCGGTCGGTCGTTGTTGTGCATTCTGTGGAGTGGCCCTAGTGTGTGTCTGAACACACACACGCACATAACGTATGGGAACACACACACACGCTGTACCGAATCACCATGACCTACTCCAGCAGCATATTTGCCATTTATACACCTGACAAAAATAAAAAGAAATAGAATGAGGGAATTAGCTTAGAAAAGATATTCTCCTCACTTATTTCTTTGCTCGGCACTCATGTCATTTAACCATCAACTGAATTTTAATTTCACGTCCATATATTCATCTACATCATTAAACAATATTCTCTCGTCAACTTTGCATGGCTCGTATCAAGACTGCTGGCTTATGGCGTACATAAACATGCTGATGCCGCACACACTTTAACTATGCATTCCCCACTTATCCTCTCTATTTCTCTCTATCAATGCTTTTCTCCTACTTTATGTAAATACACTCATCATACCAGGAACTTATATATTGTTAGGCAATTTTGGGAGCATATATGCATATATATGTGTATATATGTATATGTACATATATATATGTGTGTATGTGTGTGCTCTCTGAAATGTATGTACAATGTATTTGGCTAAATTTAATGCATATTGAAAATAATAATAATAATATTGAAATTGTAACAATAATCTTAGGCCAACACTACACTACACTACACTACATTACACTATACTACACTACACTATGTCATACATGTATATTTACACATACAAAAAACACATTTATCATAAGCATACACACACACACACACACATACAGAATTAATTACCAATTGTCAACACAATTACACTTTAGTATATAAGTTGAACAATTTGTTTGAATTGATCTGTAATTGAGAAATCAAAATTGTAAGAGAATACGAAGTTAAGTAATGCATATCAATAAACTTTCTGGGTTGGGTCGTCTAAGTCGTTGGATGTTGAGGATAGATGGTTAATCAGGACGTTCGGATCACTGGGTCAAGTTTGTTTGTTTGTCTGTTTGTTTGTTTGTTTGCAGGGATATATTGGATGTTTGGTGTCTTGCGTGAGACCAGTGTGTTGTGACAGGAAGCATGGTTAGAGAGTAGTTAGATTTAAAATTGAGTGGGCGCCAATAAAGCCGCCCCACTACGACTCGCTTGCTTCCGTACTCACACACACACGCTCACCCTTGTACCATACACCCATTCAACCTCTATATCTCTCACTCACTCACTCACTCGCTCACTCACTCACACACACTCTCCCACTCACTCTCTCTCTCTCTCTCGTTATCGGAGCTTAAGAGGGAGTGTGAGAGAGTGCCCATTTTGTCCGTACCGTTTTCCCATCTCGTCCCATCCATGACACAGCCTCCCACTCAACAATTTGTTACCAGAAAAAAGGGTCTTAATTAGTCGCTTGAGATGAACGGACGTGTTAGCGGACGATTGATCGTTTGTCGAATTCTGTTCAAAGTGGAATTGAAACAAAAGTTTTGAAAAAGTCGTCGTTAAATCGTTAAATCATAAATACGCCCAGTCAGTAAATAAAATAATAAGAATCTGTGCTAAATTAATCAATTAATTGATTCTTATTAAATTACGCGCTCAAAACGAAAACATATATATATATATATATATATATATATATATATGTGTGTTGGCATTTTTTCTCCCACTGGTCAGGGAGAGAGAACTCAATGAACAAACAGTGAAAATCAGTGAAAGAAGTGAAGAAAGGTGAAAAAAAGTGTAGAAGTTGAAAGAAATCAGGTTCAAATTTCATATAGGTGTCCATGAAATATATGCTGCTTGAGTACAGGCTCGTGTACGTGTGCTGGCGTCTTCCAATTGCGCCGCTTACGATCTGTATGCGCGCGTATGCGTGTATGTGTGAGCTTTCCAGACAAAGCGACGCCACGCCACGCCTAGCCACGCCAACGCCCAACGCTAAACGTCAACGCTAGTGCTTTTTTCTTTTTTTTTTCTTTTTCTTTTGTTTTGCTTTATTCTGAGGCGCACTGTACCTCCTTACACTCTGGAAGTGCTTAAGAGTCCAGAATCAAAAAAAAAAAAAAAAATTCAATAATTCCAACAACCCGTCACACCGCTCAATATTCAACTTGATTACAAATATTAAAATATAAATCAATAAAAATTGTTAAAAATATATATTTTCAATTTCCATAAATATTTTCATTGCCAGCAATATACAATATTTTTTCTCAAAAATATTTTTGCTACCAATCTGTCCGTCTACGGACAAACACACACACACACACACACACAGCCAATAACGGCTAAATTAAAAAGAGAGCAATTTTCCAATAACATAACATATATCAATAATTTTTTATAAATAATAACAAATCTCAACACAACAATTCAAAACGTCAATTAAAACCATATCAACAACAATAACAACAACAACAACAACAACAACAGCATCAACTATTACAATTACAAAAAGTTGTACAATCACTCAAAACGGCCAACAGGTACAGTCATCAATTTTATCACAACATAAAACAAAAACAAAAATAAATACACTCAAGCGCAAATACAAATGCATATTATGACCATTCCAATTGTCACTCACATCTATCAAAACATATTAATTAACTAATATATATACATATATATATATATATCCTACTTATTCTCACAAAAAAAAAAATAAAAAAAAAATAATAAGTGTGTGTGTTTATGTGCGCATAGTTGCTGTTGCGCAACCTGTACTACTTAGTGCACAAGACGCGCACGCATCTATTCATTCATTCATTCATTTACACACACACACACATATATACTTGCAAACTTGCAAGCTTGCCTTCCAATACAGTCTGGAGGCAGCAAGCAGCAAGCATCAAAACTAAAAATTACACACACACACACACGCACATACGCAGGCAGAGTCGCGTCATTTTCTCGCACATTGTATGTGTGTGTGCGTGCTTGCTGTACAAAATCAAACAAAACATAAACAATCATTCCATTTAACATTAACATTATATTTACACATACATATAAGTAAATAAGTGCCTGTCCAAATTTTTCAGGACATCATTTTTGATTAATAGACATATATATATATATAGATTTAGTCAAAACATAGCGTGTCGCCGCTAAATTTAAACATTAAAATCAAAACAAATATATATATATATACAAAATACATAGGCGTGTCGTCGCCAAATTCGTATTTAATATAATAAATTTTTTTTTACCAACATAATAGTATACGGTGTGTCGCCACCCAAATATAAATCAACAATCGATATTGTTTAACAATACACGGTGTGTCGCCACCAAATATATAATTTAATATTTCATAATAATAATAATTCTATTGCTAGCAATTTGTATGGTGTGTCGCCACCAAGGCATTTTGCGCTAAGCCTGTCCGTCTGCCTGCCTGCCTGCCTGCTTGCTCGCTCGCTCTCTTGCCTCTCTCACGCTCCATACAGAGAGCGAGAGCCGGCAAGTGAATCAAAACAAAAAACAGAGACTAGCGGCTAGCAGATCGAACATAATCAAAACAAACGAGCGCGTTTTCTCGCTCTATTCACGGCGGCCATTATTGTTTTTTCTGGCGCGGCCAAATTTCATTCATAAATACAATTGCACATCATAATCAAAACATTAGCGTGTCGCCGCTAATTTTCCATATAATATTAAATAATTATAATAATATTAATAAATATATATAAATACAAAGGCGTGTTGTCGCTTATCTTTAGTATTTATTTCTTTAAACAATAGACGGTGTGTTGCCACCATTAAATAACATAATATCCTATCACTTTTATGCTGGCAATTTATTTTATGGTGTGTCGCCACCAGAAAAGAAAAAAAGATAATTAATTGCCGCCAAGCCTGCCTATTTGCCTCTGTCTGCCCAATCGATCGCTCTCTTGCCGCTCTCTCAATAACAAATTGAGAGCCTGTGTGAGAGATCAAAACAAAAAGCTGAAACAAGAGGTAAACAAAGCATCTATAATCAAAACAAACGAGCGCGAATTCTCGCTCTATTCACACACACACAGCGGCCATCATTATTATTATTTTTTTTTTCTTCTTATTATTCTTTTCTGTTTACTTTTGCCACGACCTTGACTCAATTTCAATAATTCTTTTGCTATTTTGTCCTTGCCAGCGTGCCGTTCGCTAACACTTCTGATAACTTTTGTTTTGCCGTCGGCAAAACGACCTTTGCACAATTTTAAGAAATTCTTATTTAGCGTGCCGCCGTTAAATACACATTCTTTAATCAGGAAAAAAAATATATTATTGTTTTTTCGGGCGTGCCGCCACCCTTACATATTAAACAATAATAATTACTTTCAAGTTTTATATTTAAAATATTATACTTACCATTAAACTTATCATAATATTACTTACCATCTGAGTACCTGAAATCATTCGGGGAAAATAAATCATAAGTTAAAAATCCTGAAGGGAAAAAAAAAAAAAATACATATATATATATATATATATAATAATAAATAATAATAAATTACAAAAATTTTCAAAAAAAAAAAAAATCTCGGAAAAATCCGAGAAAAATATATAAAAATTCTACAAAAATCTGGGGATTAATAAATTCTTAATTTAGTCAAGTGAAAACAATTTCTCTACTCATACTTACCACATCATGTCACATCAAAAAATCCCTTCGTCTGAATCATTGCTAGCTGAGATGGCGCTGTCGCCCGGCTTTCTATCCGATCTATCGGACCTCTCGCTGTCGCCGATGTCGCCAATGCCAGCACCATCATCAACAGACAGCATGTTGCCTGCTGCGGCTTTGGCGGCATCTCCCTCCCTTGCACTCTCAATTTCTGTGCATGAGGGACAGCAACAAAATGTTCAATTGGCTGGTCCAACTGAAACGAATGCTGTATCTTCGTCATTATTATTGGCAACAATGACAACAACAACAACAGCGACAACAGCTACAACAACATCAACAGCAACACATGTGACAACATCAACTACAAATTCATTAACGGCCAAAATGCCATCAGATGCGCAAGCCCAATTGGCGCATTATAAGCGCCTAATTGCCCAATTGGAATTTGATCAAAAAAATTCTGTAAATGAAAAAACCTTACAAAATCTCCAAAATTATCATCCGAATCACTCTTCCAGTGAGCCTTTCGTTGATATCGAGGGCAACGATATCTCACCGCCAACATTGAATGCAGCTCAACAGCTCTTAATGTCAGCATCATTACACCCAATAACAATTCCAAAAACAACAATAGACTTACCTACGAAAACAATTTGTATAAGCAGTGATTCCAGTTCGACTGGAAACGCATCCAGCAATTGTTGTCGTGATGACAATATCGCTACAACCACTGGAGCTTTACACTACAAATTACTGCATAATACTGGCAAAAACGCTAAAATTAATCGGCGAAAAAATACGCGTAAATCCAAACGTCAAAATTCGGCAATATCTCGGTCCACGCAACAGGATGCTTCACGAAGCAAACAGATTGCTAATCGTTTTAGCTTATTGTCGGAATCCGACTTTGAAGCTCCTGTATTGTCTGATCTACCAAAATCACAATCTGATCTTCCACCACCGCCCCCATCACCCACACCCTTGGCAACAGCAGCAGCAACAGCAGCAGCAGCAGCAGCAGCTATAACAACAGCAACAGCAGCAACTCCAATGGTGGTGTCGTCTAATCGTTTGGCCACCGCTGTCCAAGCTGCACTGGCTTCTGCCAATCGGCCGATGACGGTATCAAACTCCATTTTGAACAACAACAATAATAATGTTATTCCTTTCCCCACCTCCCCTCTTCTGCAATTGAAAACACAATTGCAATCAAACCTGCTGCTGCAACAACAACAACAACAACAGCAACAACAACAATCACAGCAGCAGCAACAACAACAACTGATTGTTGGTGGCAATGTTTTGACTCCAAAGAGCAAAAACTACAAGCCACCTCAAATATATGTCGAGCATATATTACAATCTAACCAAAATGGTTTAAACACACTTATTGCCAAGCTAAATGACCACAATCCGCCCATAATTGATTATGGGCTCAAATTAAGTGGTCCAGGCACTGTGCGTATCCTTCCAAAAACCCTCGACACTTATCAGAACATCTTAAATATTCTTAACTCAGATAACAACTTTCAATATAACACATACCAGAGGCGTGAGGAGCGCTCGTTTCGGGTTGTTGTGCGTGGCATACATGCCAATACAAGCACCGACACAATCCGGAACGAGCTCACTTGTATGGGGTATACGATCCGAAGCGTATACAACCCGCAATACAAGAACCGAAACGGCTCTGGTATGTATCGTCCTAACTTATTTTATATAGAATTAGCTCCCGACCCTATCCAAAACCGAACAATATTCAACATACGAACGCTCTGTAAATACATTGTGCGTTTCGAATGGCCAAAAGTCAACAATAATCGATTGCCACAATGTCATCGCTGTCAGCGATTTAACCATACCGCTCGCTATTGCCGACACCCACCGCGTTGTGTCAAATGCGGCGATGACCATCTCACGCAGGCATGCATTAAGTTGCCAAATATGCCAGCTAAATGCGCCAATTGTGATATGGATCACACTGCCAATTATAAGGGTTGTCCCCTATATTTGGATTTACTCAACACCAAACTAATGGCCATTCCCAAAAATAACAATAATCAAAAAATTCGGCAGCCCCAATCGTCGAATGTACAGCGGCGGCAAAAGCAGCCACAGCCAAAGCGTCAACAACCGGCTCAGTTGCAATCGCTTGCTCCTCAACAGCAGCAGCAACAACAACAGCAACAGCCAGTACTATTACAGCAGCTACAGCCGCCAATGCCAATGCCAATTCAAAACATTTCAAATCTCAACAAAAACAAAAACAAAAAGCCTAATAAGAAGCGCAAGCTAAATGGTGGACAATTGTCATTGTTGCAGCAACAGCAGCGACAACAACCACAACAGCTACAGCAACAACAACATCAAATAGTTTCAAGCACACCACTTACGACTTCTGTGAACAACAGCAGCAACATCAACACTATCAAAACGGCAAAAATTGCCAAAAAATCGAAACCATCCACAGTCTCCACAATCCAAACTTTGGATCCGCGCGCTAGGTGGGCGCAGATACAAAATATTCAAAAACAACAACAGCAACAACAACTTAATCAAACCGGCTCGATATTGAGCCGCGAACAAATCGTTTCGACTCAATGTCAAATATTAGAAAATATGTCCAAACGACAGCCAATTGCAATTGCCACTGCCCAACAATCAAATATGCAACAGCAGCCTGTGCCTATGCAGGTGGATGATGGGCAGCGGCAACAGCAACTGCTTCAGCAACAGCAACATCTGCAACAGCAACAACAGCAACAACAACAAATTCCGTTGCCACACTTGTCTACAAACGTTGATAATAATAATCAAATACTTCTCAATATGGCTCAAAAGCACCAAGAACAAATGGATAAGATGATGGGCTGGATGACTATATTGCAGCAACAAATGCAGGGAGTGCTTCGCCACGGTGATGCCTCCACACTGCCTGCTGCATCCTCATCCAATTCAAATTGATTCATTCACCAATCAATAATCGAATTGGATGAGGATTCCATTATACCCGGTCCCACTGCCTTACTCATTCACGCTGCTCATGCACTCAATCTTGTCAAAACTGTAAAAAAAAAAAAAAAAAATATTTTTTAAATTTTAAAACATATGAACTATGATCAGAACACTTACCTTTCTTACCTCTCTCTTTTTCTTTCTCCTCTCTCTCTTTTTTTTTATTTTTCTAAATTTTTACTCACCTCCATTTACTCATCCTGTGCTTACCATTTTTCTTTGTTTTATTTAATTTATCATTCTGATCATGGCTCTGCTTCCTTGAACAATAACTCTCTCTTTTTCATACTCTATCAATTAAATGCATTTCTCAATGCAACACTTTATTAAAACAAAAAAAATACAAAATAAAATAAATGCGTATGCGTCTGCCTGTCTGGCCTATATGCTAACATTCTTAAAATGCTAGACATCAAGACGCCAGATTTACACGCGCACACGCAAACGCATAAACACACTCACAATCACACACACACTCACAAATTGCGCGCCACCACCGGCAGCAGAAGAAGAAACTTCTTTTTGCTCGCTCACGTGCTGGTGCCCAATAATAACAACAACAAATCATAACAAAACACATCAATACACACATGCGAGCGCGCGCACGCACATATACTTTGTCGCGCCCGTAAGCACTTGTGCACGCATACACTTACACACACACATATAATCATCAACGCTGGCCAGCTGGTCGCGCAATCATAACATCGGCTGGCCCCCTTCCCCAATTCAATTGACAACATATATAGCTCTCTCAGCACTCAGCCCGCTTGGCTGGAGCGAGGGGAAGAGGGAGGCAACCTTTTTTCGTCTTCATCGCTTTGCGTCTATCTGTTGGTATGCCCTGGCCGCTCTCTGTCTTTGTGGCGGGCATCGTCGCCAATCGACACTTCCAACACCAACAACAACAACAACAACAACAACAGCAACAACAGCAACAACAACAACAACAACAACAACGTCTTCAACGACAACGTCTATCATCATCACCAACACCATAGTCATCGACATCATCATGTTCACCATGCCGCTGACCATGTTGGGCACAATGTCCTTACAAATTATTTAAATACACTTTTCTTTAAATATTACACACACATACACTCATCTCACAACAAATGTATTTATTCCAATTCACCTTCCCCTTTTCTATTGTTCTATTCTATCAAAATCCCATGTCAACAAATAGTTAAATATTGTCAAATAACTCTTTTGATAATTTAGCCTGTGCTTTGATGAGAGAATGGCACAAGGCGGCAAATAACATCCAGCTTCAGTTATCGAAAAAGAAAATGAAATATTACTATTTAAATTACATGATGTGGGGAGAATAGCTTTTCTTTAGCTCCACCATAAACGGTGGTTACAGAGGAAAATTAAAACAAAAAAAAAAAAAAAAATCAAATACACTGGATAGGCATCGGTCGGTCGTTGTTGTGCATTCTGTGGAGTGGCCCTAGTGTGTGTCTGAACACACACACGCACATAACGTATGGGAACACACACACACGCTGTACCGAATCACCATGACCTACTCCAGCAGCATATTTGCCATTTATACACCTGACAAAAATAAAAAGAAATAGAATGAGGGAATTAGCTTAGAAAAGATATTCTCCTCACTTATTTCTTTGCTCGGCACTCATGTCATTTAACCATCAACTGAATTTTAATTTCACGTCCATATATTCATCTACATCATTAAACAATATTCTCTCGTCAACTTTGCATGGCTCGTATCAAGACTGCTGGCTTATGGCGTACATAAACATGCTGATGCCGCACACACTTTAACTATGCATTCCCCACTTATCCTCTCTATTTCTCTCTATCAATGCTTTTCTCCTACTTTATGTAAATACACTCATCATACCAGGAACTTATATATTGTTAGGCAATTTTGGGAGCATATATGCATATATATGTGTATATATGTATATGTACATATATATATGTGTGTATGTGTGTGCTCTCTGAAATGTATGTACAATGTATTTGGCTAAATTTAATGCATATTGAAAATAATAATAATAATATTGAAATTGTAACAATAATCTTAGGCCAACACTACACTACACTACACTACATTACACTATACTACACTACACTATGTCATACATGTATATTTACACATACAAAAAACACATTTATCATAAGCATACACACACACACACACACATACAGAATTAATTACCAATTGTCAACACAATTACACTTTAGTATATAAGTTGAACAATTTGTTTGAATTGATCTGTAATTGAGAAATCAAAATTGTAAGAGAATACGAAGTTAAGTAATGCATATCAATAAACTTTCTGGGTTGGGTCGTCTAAGTCGTTGGATGTTGAGGATAGATGGTTAATCAGGACGTTCGGATCACTGGGTCAAGTTTGTTTGTTTGTCTGTTTGTTTGTTTGTTTGCAGGGATATATTGGATGTTTGGTGTCTTGCGTGAGACCAGTGTGTTGTGACAGGAAGCATGGTTAGAGAGTAGTTAGATTTAAAATTGAGTGGGCGCCAATAAAGCCGCCCCACTACGACTCGCTTGCTTCCGTACTCACACACACACGCTCACCCTTGTACCATACACCCATTCAACCTCTATATCTCTCACTCACTCACTCACTCGCTCACTCACTCACACACACTCTCCCACTCACTCTCTCTCTCTCTCTCGTTATCGGAGCTTAAGAGGGAGTGTGAGAGAGTGCCCATTTTGTCCGTACCGTTTTCCCATCTCGTCCCATCCATGACACAGCCTCCCACTCAACAATTTGTTACCAGAAAAAAAAAAGGTCTTAATTAGTCGCTTGAGATGAACGGACGTGTTAGCGGACGATTGATCGTTTGTCGAATTCTGTTCAAAGTGGAATTGAAACAAAAGTTTTGAAAAAGTCGTCGTTAAATCGTTAAATCATAAATACGCCCAGTCAGTAAATAAAATAATAAGAATCTGTGCTAAATTAATCAATTAATTGATTCTTATTAAATTACGCGCTCAAAACGAAAACATATATATATATATATATATATATATATATATATATATGTGTGTTGGCATTTTTTCTCCCACTGGTCAGGGAGAGAGAACTCAATGAACAAACAGTGAAAATCAGTGAAAGAAGTGAAGAAAGGTGAAAAAAAGTGTAGAAGTTGAAAGAAATCAGGTTCAAATTTCATATAGGTGTCCATGAAATATATGCTGCTTGAGTACAGGCTCGTGTACGTGTGCTGGCGTCTTCCAATTGCGCCGCTTACGATCTGTATGCGCGCGTATGCGTGTATGTGTGAGCTTTCCAGACAAAGCGACGCCACGCCACGCCTAGCCACGCCAACGCCCAACGCTAAACGTCAACGCTAGTGCTTTTTTCTTTTTCTTTTGTTTTGCTTTATTCTGAGGCGCACTGTACCTCCTTTCACTCTGGAAGTGCTTAAGAGTCCAGAATCAAAAAAAAAAAATTCAATAATTCCAACAACCCGTCACACCGCTCAATATTCAACTTGATTACAAATATTAAAATATAAATCAATAAAAATTGTTAAAAATATATATTTTCAATTTCCATAAATATTTTCATTGCCAGCAATATACAATATTTTTTCTCAAAAATATTTTTGCTACCAATCTGTCCGTCTACGGACAAACACACACACACACACACACACACACAGCCAATAACGGCTAAATTAAAAAGAGAGCAATTTTCCAATAACATAACATATATCAATAATTTTTTATAAATAATAACAAATCTCAACACAACAATTCAAAACGTCAATTAAAACCATATCAACAACAATAACAACAACAACAACAACAACAACAGCATCAACTATTACAATTACAAAAAGTTGTACAATCACTCAAAACGGCCAACAGGTACAGTCATCAATTTTATCACAACATAAAACAAAAACAAAAATAAATACACTCAAGCGCAAATACAAATGCATATTATGACCATTCCAATTGTCACTCACATCTATCAAAACATATTAATTAACTAATATATATACATATATATATATATATCCTACTTATTCTCACAAAAAAAAAAAAAAAAAAATAATAAGTGTGTGTGTTTATGTGCGCATAGTTGCTGTTGCGCAACCTGTACTACTTAGTGCACAAGACGCGCACGCATCTATTCATTCATTCATTCATTTACACACACACACACATATATACTTGCAAACTTGCAAGCTTGCCTTCCAATACAGTCTGGAGGCAGCAAGCAGCAAGCATCAAAACTAAAAATTACACACACACACACACGCACATACGCAGGCAGAGTCGCGTCATTTTCTCGCACATTGTATGTGTGTGTGCGTGCTTGCTGTACAAAATCAAACAAAACATAAACAATCATTCCATTTAACATTAACATTATATTTACACATACATATAAGTAAATAAGTGCCTGTCCAAATTTTTCAGGACATCATTTTTGATTAATAGACATATATATATATATAGATTTAGTCAAAACATAGCGTGTCGCCGCTAAATTTAAACATTAAAATCAAAACAAATATATATATATATACAAAATACATAGGCGTGTCGTCGCCAAATTCGTATTTAATATAATAAATTTTTTTTACCAACATAATAGTATACGGTGTGTCGCCACCCAAATATAAATCAACAATCGATATTGTTTAACAATACACGGTGTGTCGCCACCAAATATATAATTTAATATTTCATAATAATAATAATTCTATTGCTAGCAATTTGTATGGTGTGTCGCCACCAAGGCATTTTGCGCTAAGCCTGTCCGTCTGCCTGCCTGCCTGCCTGCTTGCTCGCTCGCTCTCTTGCCTCTCTCACGCTCCATACAGAGAGCGAGAGCCGGCAAGTGAATCAAAACAAAAAACAGAGACTAGCGGCTAGCAGATCGAACATAATCAAAACAAACGAGCGCGTTTTCTCGCTCTATTCACGG